ATGAGCTTTTACAACGCGAAAACTTTTCCAGTGTCGTGCGGGTCCTTGCCACACTTACCGTTTGCATCCGTATCAGAAGAGAGCCTCCCTGACGTCTCGGAAGCCCAGAGGCAGGGCCGAGGCGAAGTGACCTACGTCTGTCACGAGGGATTTCTATCGTCGCTCGGGCTTGGGACGAATCCCAGAGTTAGGTGTTCTTCCGGACGCTGGTTTCCCGTCCAAGGACAGTGCATCATGAGTCGGTTCTATGGCCTCCCAAGAATTTTCCAAATCGAAATCCTTGGCATCTGAAGCGGACACGAGGTCTCGATTCCGTTTCAGATGAAGAAACCCAGAAGAAGGTGTACAAAGTTCGTGAAAACCCAACCGGTGAGTCCAAACCCTCTTGATAATCTGAACGCCCGAGAGATCCGCTTTTCGTGAGCTTCATCGTTGGAAGAGCTGCCAGTTCCACTCACAATGTCTAGTCGGAAAAGTCACGCGCTCGTCAGGTGAAGTGACGGAAGGTGAAGTGCAAGAGGACGAAAAGCGACCAAGCACCCTGGAACCCTTCACGGCACCCACGAAAATTCTTCGTGTCTACAGTGCCACTCGACGACTCCCGAGCGAATCATACCCACAAGGTGAGAAGAATATGTAAATGTCACCGTGACGAGGTAGGCTCAAGAATTTACCTCTCAACGAAGGTAATGTGACTTGAAAGTTTCTTCAACGAGAGAGGAAGGAGAGTGACGTGATGCCTTTTGGGAACGGACGATTCTTCGGCAGTATATCTTTTGAACGCGTTTCCCAGGCATATCTGTGATTGAGCTAGTCCACAATGCTTTGGCCACTACGCGGGGACTCATGAAGGGAAAGAAATATGGAATAGGGTGACGAGCGTAGGCAGCCGTGTACGCTAGGGTAGTCCCATTTTGCTCTTTTCGAGTCCAAATAGAGCCCAGGCTAGAAGAGTGTCTTCTCTTTGAATCTGAGAGATGTGTCTGAGCATCACTCGGTCCAGACAGAAAAGTCCAGAAGCTCGAATTCCGGTCTGACAGTCCGTTTCGGCACCACACGCCGATATTCCATCTCTTCCCAGCTTTTCAATCTCGATATTCTTTCCAACTTATTTCTTTCCCTCCCTTCTCTCCCCAAACAAGCCATCCTTGAAACCGAATGCGACGATTTAGCTTTCCTCTTATGATCAAGGGTGCCTGCACTAATCTCCTCTTATGATCAAGGGTGCCTGCACTAATCCCAGCTCAGATGATGAAAGCACGGATCACTTTTCCAGCCAGATTAGCATTGGTATTTTGAAAGCAGCTGTCTCCAGGACTGATTCCCATCCCCGATCAAATGATCATTTCCACTCTCGCCCCCTTGACAAGAATCACAAGATGTGATTTAATCTTTGATCTACACACGATTGAGGCGAAAGTGCACAGGGACGACATTCCACACGGGATTTTCTTGACTGATAACCATGTTTGCCTCAACCCTTAAAAAGGGGGGGATAAGGTTAAATCCCCGTTTCACTCGCCCACTCTGTGCAAGACTGGATGAGAATGACTTTTAGTACATAGAAACTGCAAGAGGCAGAAGGAAGCTAGTCCTGAAGGGACACGTTTACAGGTCCCACGGGAAGCGCGAGAGCCGGAGTCGCACGTTGAGTCGCGGCCGAGCATGCTGGAGACCAGCATAAGGAAAGGAAAAAATACTGGGTCTAAGAGGGTTGGATAGACCGTCTCCAGAGCTGATTTCTGGCTAACGGAATCGATCTGAAAAAAATATCTCTCGGTACTTTGTCATGTGATGTAATATCAGGAGACGATATGCTCCTCTCGAGAGGCTTGTTCCGATGTTTTCTTTTTTTCTTGTCTGAGTTGCGTATGACCTCGCTCTGATTTATGCATATACACCATCGTGGTATAATCTATTCACGAGCGCCCGTGGCATAAATTTCCCCAGACCAGAATTATTCCTATATCCATGGGAAACTGGTGGAAATTCGCCCCTGTGCTCTCTCGCCCCCGTATATCCACGTGAGATAAATTGACACATTTTGCAACAACCAGTCAAATACGTCTCGGGAGTGAAGGGGACGAACTGGTCCACTTGCCGACGCCACATTTCCTTCCTGCCTTGCATATCCTTCATACCCGAGTACGTTCATCGTCTCGTTCTCCCGCACTCGAGCCATCAGCATAGAATGAGACGCACTTGAAACCAGGAAGTCGCTAGAAACGCCAGACAGGATGGTAAACGAAACCCGTCGTCAGGCCAAGAGAGCTTAATTTAGATCTACGAGGGTACTTCGCTCTCCCTCATCTCATCGGCCGGTTCGTTCTCCTCTTTCACCATCCCATGCTAATGCGAATCCTTTGTGGTGTCTGGATAAGCATCATTACAGGAAGACCTGCGAATCGTGTCGAAAAGGGAAGTATTCGTGACTGTTCCTGCTCATTCCACTTTGGCAGAATCCCCAGTGACGTGGAGTGAACGGGAGATTCACAATGGCTGATTTGTGGCCGATTCAACGGAGTGAGAGCAGCCTGCGGTCTCTCCCTGCAGAAAGACCACAGCGACATTTAAATTTGAGTCTAAATCGATCATGCTCCAGATCAGGGAGGGTCACATGACGGAGAAGGAAAACGGAAAATCTCCCCGGGATTTGCATGGTTTCGTATCGAAAATTTACAAGGTGGAAACGAGCCAGGTCAAGACCATCTGGGACGGTGACAACGTACGACGAAATTCTTTCTGGATTTTTTTTTTTTAGCAATACTAGATGGATTTCATCGATGCACCTACCTCGCACTTCGTGAACGTACACCTGAAAAATGACCATCGCATCGTATCGCGGACGAACGTCGCGCCCACGCGGATGAGAAGGACTGGTCTGGGCAGGACGAACGCTCCGAGCAGGGAATGTAGGGAAGTACTTTCCCTGTAGGGGAAAGGAAGTAGGGAAGTGAACTTATGGAAGAGGACTGGGAAGAAGGCCGTCTGTTCTGCGTGTGACGACGGCTGAAGAGGTTCCTTCGTGCTCCGACGACCCGAGATGAAAGTGGATTGCGAGAATATTCCATTAAAGGCAAATGATCCAGCAACCGGAGAAGGAAGGGACGATGAAAAATAGGAAAGTGGAACGAGGACAGATCTCGGTCGAACCTCTCAAACTTGACGAAATGGCCATCGATAAGGTTCCTGTGATCGCTGAAGGCCTTTTTTCTCGACCAGTGAAGCTCGACCCCGAACAACTTCAGGAGTGGAGAGAAAAGGGAGGAAAAGCGACGAGGAAGGAAGTGGAATCGTGGATGAAAGGAGTCCATCTCCGTCCCCGCTCCCTGCAGATGCGGAATCCGAGACAGGGAAGCAAAGGAGACGAAGTGGCTCTGCCCCATCCATCTTTCAAACAAAAGAGATCAAACGTCGTATCGTACGGAGAGACGACTCGGTCTGGGAATGAAGATGCGGCCGACAAGGAATCTTCTTGGAACGTGGACAAACCCCGAATCGATCTCGATCGACCGGTCGGGATATCTTTCGGAGACAGACACGTCAACAGATCCATCTCCCAAGACCAAAAAACGCTTGCGAGCTTCGTAATTAAAATGGCAAAAAAATGGAGACAGATACGTTATAAGAGCAGAGAAGACTCATTGCAGTGACATCATTCTCATTTGCTTAGCTGAGGAGTGCGGGTGTCTTGACTGCCTGTCCCGCACGGAACTTTTTAAAAGGTACGAGGGATGAGCAAAGATTTCTGGCTTGATATGGAAGAAAGTTTTAGAAATCATGGTTGCTTGACTGCACAAGTTAATCTTACGTGAACGAATGCTATTACTTTCATCCTTATTTCTCGTTCTGAATGATCTTGATGAGAGCAAGAATGGAAAAATATAAAGAAATGTGTGCATGAAAAGTACCCGAAGAGCTAAGGATACGTCTCATGTTTTTGGCGAAATACAGTGTGTTCGGCTGTAACCGCAGGATTTGGTCAAGTTACAACGATTTCAACTGGATACTTGAATTATTGATTTGTATATAGTGCTGCCCTAACTCTGAAATTTTTAGGAAATCTCTTGCTGCTCCAAATCATCGATGCACTTTCGGAAGCCATTTGATATGCTGTCATTGTTATGTGTTCCAGTGCATTTTAATTAGTCAAATTTTGTATGCTCCTCTGATCCGAGAGAGTTTTTCTGCAGACGCGACAGAAATCCCGCTCACGTTCAACTTTCATTGCTGATTCTAACTTAGCTAACCGCAGAACACACTGCACTTTCCGTCGAGGGTCGCCATTTACTCGTAAACGCCTGACTCAGAAATGCAAACTACCACCTGTTGGCTTACTGTCGAACCTACAGAGTCTGATGGTTATGGACGGCAACTGCTGTCTGCTAGCATAACTTCCGACCTCAAGAAACAAAGAAACGAGGAATCAAGGATCAAAGTGACCAGTTTAAAATTGTGTAGCTATTTAAAATCCTGCGTTTTCCGTACGACAACCTCTGTATGTGATCAGGAAGTTTACAGTCGTTACTTTCTTGTCAGGAGTGTTTTCTTTGCAGCACACACATTCCAAAACGTATTTCTTTGTGCGATTATCAAGCACTCGCCTCAAGAAATGATCCTGGAAAATGAAACCATATCAGGATGGGAACGTTTTGCTTGCCTCTCGTTTCCTGCTACACTCTACAGATAGCAGGCAAGCAAGAAGTCTCCCGAAAAGGTGCTGATTCTGATGCACCTTATCTGGTGCAAAAGTAAAGGAACCGAGAAGAAAGAGACGGAACCCATGCGAGAGGAAGAAACCCCTCGAAGACGAATCGCGGAGACATGGAGAAGAGATGAGCATGGACAAGGAGGAGGAAGAGGCACCGCTGTTCTCTCAGGTCGAAGGAGTCACGGTCGAGGCAGGGCGTGTCACGAGTGCCTTCTCCGATGCCCTAACTGCAGGGAGGGCTACTGATTCTGGGGAAAGCTGAAGGATGCAACGGAAGAGACGCTAGAATTTATTGCAAAGGTACATTATCGGTGTTTGGGTTGGGCTCGTGCTCGTCCTTGGCACCAGGACCGTCCTCGTTGTCATCTACCTCCTCACCAGCACCTAGCATGAAAACTTCGTCATGGCGCTTGGTATTCTCATCCAACCTGTTAATTTCCTTTTTTAAGTTTTTTCCTGCTCTTCTAAGGAAGTTTTAGAACGTTCATTCTCTGAAGCGATTCAAGCTTTCCTGGGAGCTCGTCCTCAACTACTGCTACAAACAACGGGCTATTACAAGGGCTCCGTTTGAGTGCAGGATTCCACGCAGAAAGAGCGAGAAAATAAATCAAATCTAATTTAGGAACAGCGTTTTATTTTCCTAGGTTCGAGAGGATGTTTCCGAGAAGTCAACCGTCCAATGTCGACTTGACCCATAGGGATCAACAGGGCAAGCTGACTTCTACCAGGACAGTGAAAACCAGAATGGATTGCATTCCCACCCCGAATGTTTGGGACATCTCTTGACGAAACGATAATCGGAAGTAAGCTTCACCGGTGCCGAGACCATTCCCATGCAGGTCCTTCCACCCACGACGATCCTACCCCTAACTGGGTTGGAGACTGCTCTGTCAAATTACTTTCTTTACGCTAAGCTGCCTCTTCTCTTGCCCCTTTCGGTGGTCTACTCTTTAGGCTTTCTTTCCAGTCAAGTCTCAAAATGTTCATGCCTGCAGGCATCGTGAAGGAATGAAGTTCAATCGAGTCAATCAGTTGGGGATCATATACCTTTGATACAAACGCAATTCAATTCACTGGACGGTGATGATTCTAGTCCGCTCTTAAGTCATTGAGCCAAAGCGCACTCAAATAGCGTGATTCTGACTTCATTGATGATGCATGCAAGTTATGAATCTCTTGGAACGTCCAAATGAACAACCACCTTCGGATGGTTGAGCCATCAGTTTCTCTGGATCCAGGAAGACTGAGGCAGATGAAAAGATGATAAATTCCTGCCTGGTGCAATTCGAGCAAAAAAGGGCATACTTGCACAATCTACTTGAATGTGGCGAAATTCAACCCATTCGAATAGAGAGACTGAAATCCTTACGCCATGCACTAGCACTTATCAACTTTACCAGGCCAAATCCATACCAATTGCCAACAAGATAAATTACATGAATGAAAGATTACAGGGAAATGCAGACTCATTTCAATTATTGCTGGAGGAGTGAAGTTCACCAGGAATTTTCATTTTGATGCGAGTGCCAGAATTTCAACAGGAGGAAATGGAAGAACCACAAATCAATTTATAATTGGAGCTCATGTTCTATTTACAGGTGTCTTAGTCTTCTAGATCATACACCTGGGAATAGGCTGAAACCTCACACTAATGCCACTAGCTCACATACATAACTACATTCACTTCATGTGGCCAATATGTTAATGCAGGTAGGCGAATGGGTCAAATCAAACCTGTTGTATATACAGGCTGTATATTGTATATACCAACAGAAATTATTATCATCATGGAAGGGTAAGAAAAGTAATTATGATTTGAAAGCATCCTGTTTGTTGACAGCACTTAAAGAGGAAATTAAGGAGCTCGACTGAAGAAACTTGGATCATTGAAGTTTGTTCTGGATTTTATACAGCTCTCTTCAAATGAAAATAAGAAAACGGGATTCTTATATGTCAGTTTCTGAAACTCCTGCAGCAAAGCAACATTCTGAATTTAACTTCATTTTACCTCCACAATCTTCCCATTTCTTAAAAATGAAATCTCCATACACTCTACAAGCTCAATGTGGACATTCCAGGTGCATGCAAGGTTGGTTGAAGGTGACTAATGGGACAAAGAAGCTACATCCTTCAAGATACAGGTTTATTGCACAGAATCTAATAGAACATCTACAGGTGATAGCATGTACAATAGGAGAATGAAATATGCACCAATGCATGTTTTTGCCAAAGAGCGGTGCCAGCAGTTTTGCTGATGTCGTGGGCTGCCTATTTTGTGGACTTTGGACCAGTGAAAACAAGTTGTGATTGGTCTGTTGTCATGGGTGTTTATGTGGCAGTCTATATACTGAGTGGCCTGTATGCTGAATTTTGTGTGCAACTGAGAAAAACCACCACTGAGACATGGTTTGTTGCTACATGTCATGTGCAAAAGTATGCAAATCTCATTGGCAAATTTTATGCATTCTTAAAGGATGATTAACTAAAGGTGGTTTCAGTATTAGACTAACTCCATGCAGAGGTGACAAATACCACAAGGTTGACAGGACAACTAAGAAAAGCTGATAATCCATTAGGACAACTTCAGACTCCTCTTCCAGCATTCAGAGTTTCATGGAATGAAAAAGCATGACAAAAGGAGTTGAATCAATATCAAATGTCCTATGGCCTGATGTTTAAAAAAAAAATTTATATGCTCAAAAATGAAGCTATAAATCAAGCACAAGCAAAATTTTCCAGATAATGAATAGAAGGGATTAATTGGGTTGGAGTTGGCCTCTTCCATAGATACACTTTGATGTAGGACAGAGTATCATCAGAGTTGCCACAGGTAATCACTTACTTTCTTCTCTTACAAAACTATAGAAGGCTATCTGATGCAAAATTTAACAATGGTTGAGGGACAAGAGATAAGAGCTCATCCCTACCTTAATTTTGAATTGCAACACTCATATTTGGCATAAATTTGTAGTCTCCCAGAACTGTAGTTGGATATCATACAACACCCAGCTGGAAGTTTCAAGTAACATGGCATCATCTATCCTGAAACAATTTTAATTTTTAACAAACAGAAAGAACTGTAAGGTTGACAATCTTCATCTCAATCTTATTACATCCACAGATCTGTAGATCTACTTCCAGAAAGGAATAGACATTGTAGAAGGTGAGAAATATCTTGTTCTGCTATGATTATCTTCAAGTGCATGGCTTTTATGTAGTGATATTCATCTTGGAAAGTACATTAAGCAACAAGCAAATACTCTGCAGGCATGAAAAGTGAATTTTAAACAGCAACAAAAAAAATCAACAAGCACTAAATATGCAGCTTCAAACAATTATTAAATATTCAGGTTGCAATGAATGTCCACTAGACATTAAGACTTCATTTACACACATACATGTAATTCATTTTAATGCCTGAAACTGCCAAGTACTTTCTACTGGTTGATTAGCTTACTTTTTGATAATCTGAAGAAATGAATTTTCATCTTTCACAAATTTATTGCACCACATCCTTCATGAATCAGCATATCAAAGAGCACCTTCTTTCTTTTACAACATTTCAGTTTATGTAATATCTAACCACTGGAATTGGAATGCCACAACATTTCTGTGAACACAAGTACTCACCCATTAAATTGTATCACAGTGAAAGAACATTTCCTGTTGGGATATGTACACAGGACGAATTTCAAACAAGGTCTATGAAAAGCTTGGAGCACTGCACAGGAATGAAATGAAGTGGAAGGCATATATATAGAGCAGGATGGAATGCCAGCAGCATGATCCACTAATTCCAAACTTGCCATCATGCTTTACAGCAACTGAAGCCTCAATGAATTTTTTGCCGACCTTGTTGAAAAGTATGCAAGGGAATCCTCTGCATGGGATTGTACTTCTCTTCCTGATATGGACCTAAATGATGGAAGACAAGGTGACAATGGTTAGGTCACTATAACTTATGATGTGACATGGTTTACTTGGCTTGTAACCCTTCTGTGTAATGCCTTGACAGCTGACAACCTTGCAAAACTAGTCAATGGGCAAAGATATCTTATCACCTTCCCCAATATCATAATAAAACTTACATGAGAAATTGCACAAGATAGGCCAGGCTATAATGTCAAAGAAATATAAGTCTCATACTAGGAGGATTTTTCAGTGGCAGTGACTCAATATGAGGACTGCAGCAACCCAGTCAAAGATAGCTGATAGCTGAGAACCCTAACAGCTAAGCAATGCATTCTGACTCCAACAAGGAACCCAGGTACTAGCATTTTCAGTTTGGCAGGAAGGTGCAGATCATTTTCTGACAAATGGAGAATGAATAGTTGCACATGTTGCAATCCACATGAATTTTTACTTCTAGCAACCTTACACACCATCCTCTCCTCCTATATCCCAGCCTCCAGATACCGTTGCAAGTAAAATCCTCCTCCTCCTCCATTTTCCAACATTCAACTCTCACAAATAATAATCATAGGCTAAATAATAGCAGATTGTAATTTATAATTTGGATGAAAAATGAGCTGGTGGTCCAGATTTATATTATCATTGTATTTTACTTAATGAGGAAATAAAATGAAGCTCCTCTTTACATAAAGGATATCCACTACTGGACTGAGCTAGGCAATTCCAGTACTGGATACTTTTTTCCTTATTAGTAAAGTAGTACTGTTTTACATACATAATTAGCATAAGCATATCCTGAAAGAGCAAGTTTTTTTCACTAGGTTCTGCTGAGCTTTGATGGCTATCTGTTGAAGAGTGTAGCAAATTGGCAGTGTTTGATCAAACTAAAGATGTTTCTCAAATTCTGAGGTGATTTCATGCCTGTTTGCAAAAGTTGGGCTCTTGCATGAAACAATCTCCTGTGTTTACGTTTGAAATTTTAAAATGAAGGGATTGGATTAGGACCACCACTTCACACTGTCTTTTGTCAATGTTGTTTCAGCTCTCTCACAGTCCTTTTTCATAAATCATGAGGGCAAAGGCACGATAGTGTTCAGTGAAACTGCATTCAGCGATCATCACCTTGCTGTGCTCTTCAACAAAAGCCCATTCTTTCAAGGTCTTTCCTTACATGCTAGTGCCAAAGCACACAGTTGATGGATAGGTTACTCTTCTGATGTCACTCAATTTAGTAGAACCTGGTGAAAAAACTTCCCAAGCAATGCTCTTTCAAGATATAGGTAGGACAACTACATATATAATATGGTCCTGCCTTAATACAAAAAACAAAAGGGGCATTATTCCATAGGCCATCGTATACTTGTTCAGCTTCAGTCAGTCAACTTGTTTGAGACAAACTGACAGATTACAAAGTAACAAGTGCAATGAAACAGAATTTTTGTCCAGGAATCATGTCATCACAAAATGTAATTCTTATTAAAGTCAAACACCATAGGAGAAAGCCATATACTCACGTTTTCTCCATAACAGAGAATTCATCAGGTGACCACTGAGGTAAAAGAACCAGAAGACAAAAACTGAACCAGTGATGAATGTGGCCCTCTCAATAGCTGAGAATTTATCAAGGAAAGGATACACCCAAATTCCAGCTGCCCATGCCAAATAGAGTACCCTGGTGAGAAAGAACCATGATAAATGTGACATTCCCACCAAATACTCCATAGGACAAGAAAGCAAAGAAATCAACATACCACATCAAGTAGACAAGGGCAAAAAGAGAGATGAGGGTGAGACCAAAGGCCTTTGATGGATACTGATGGTAACAGAGGTATGCTTCTGCCAGCATGACTACAATTGGTCCTGAGTGATCAAGGTGGTTCAGCCATAATGGGTAGTATGGAGCCACATCAGCTGGAATTACCAATTCATTGTCCAGTGTGTACAGGATCCAGAAAGATACAGATACAAACTGCAAGAGAGAATCACACATGCAATGGTAAGGAAAAAAATCATGACAGTGGTTTAGATAATAAATGATACAGTGTAAGTACTGGATTCACCTGACATTTCCTACCCATAGGTTTAAGACAGTCCACAGAATGTACCCATTAGAGAACTTCAAAAGGGTGAGTGTTAATTCGTAGTGAATCTGAATGAACCCTTCAGACATTATTTACTTGAAAGGTTTCTTGAAATGATTTTTTTAATGGAAACTGCTCCATATCCCTTTTCCAAAGGTACTTGTTTGATCAGCATACAATTTTATTCAGAATATACCATGTTGTATGAGAAATGTGAAGATTGTGCACTTGCCTTTGCCTATGAACTACCAGGAGCATTAGCAGAAGCAGGATGGCAAGTCTGAGGCATTGCACTAGCACATAGTTAATTTTTACACACACCTCTCCTTTTACTGTGCTTGCACAGTTAAGCAATTTAGCAATCAGCTTGAGGAGTAGGCACGGGAAAAAGCTGGCTTGTCTCCAAAGTCCAGCATGTGTTACCACTATCAAACTGCTAAAGCATGGTTACATTTTTGCACTGCTTTATAACATGGGAAGTTATTGGTACCCAATTTTTAATGAAACAGATCTTTTGGAAGACCTGTTTCATTGAAGGAAGTATTCAAAGCTACTTCCAGTATTTCTTATCAACCCTATAGATGCATTCACTTAGGCAATGCAGCAGGCCTATGAACATCCAATGACCAGTACTTTCAAGCATTTTTACTGTCACTCTTTTACCCTAGACATGCATTTTATTGTCATGCACTCTAATTATACCTACTAATTATATCTGCATGTTGATTACCATACAACCTTCAACATCAGCCCTGGTGTCCATGCACGAAACATGCTCCAAAGTTAGGTGATCCTTACACAGGATAAATGTAACATTTGCAGTGACTCTTTAAATACCCTGTGCTTTGATAATCCCAACATGTCAACTGCATCTTTGTCATAATAGGAATGAATAACTACAACATCTTCCTGCTTGAAATACAGTTGGAGAGTGAATGCTTATATCAATAAAGTTTCAAGCTTGCTCTTTCAGTCAATGGAAAGGGTAGACCATTTCCAACATCTGTCAAAGGTCACAGGTAGGTAAGGAAGGCCTAGATTGTAATTACACAAGATCCATGTTGAAAGTAATTTTTAACAAAACTGAAATTTAGAAAAAAAATTGCATGACAGTATAAAGACAGCTTTAAAAAACCAAAAGAAGGATTTCAAACTTCTCTTGGATTGAATTGAACTTGACTCTATAAGCCTACCGTCAAAGAAATATATTTAAAGTAATGCATATATTGATTTAATTTATTCAGCAATACAAGACTAAATGTTGGGTCAGACACAATTGACTTTGCAGGACTCTGGAAATTCAGACAGTAACACTAGAAGCATGAACAGCCCAAGAAACAATGTCCTAGTACCATGCAGGACTACAAATGTCCTGCTGGCTTGAATGGGCAAAGTGCAAGCCTTTTGGAAGCACCATATTTCCAGCGCACTGAAAACAACTAAGTTCACTAACCACTCCAAGTGGAAATGCCAAGCAGGAAAAGAAGTTGTCACTGGCTTTCTTCAATGGTCGGTCATGTCTCGAGATCAGCATGGTGACATCATCAAAGCAGCACACCATGAAAAAGACACACTGGACCAGCTGTAAAACCAAGAAAGGTAATATCCTGAAGTTGAATTTACTCACAGCTAAAATTTACACCTTGGGAAATATGTAAAAATACAAATTATTCATGAGCAAATCATTCCATTTAACAAATAAAAAAAGTAGATAGAGAAAACCAAATGTAGTTTAGGCTATTTACGGATATACAGGTTACATGACTTATTTGCTTCAGACACTGCTGGCTTCAATTTTAATGTCAAAATCTTTATACTGTACATGCCTCTTCTAGTGCATTACAAAGTTTGATATCTTATGTTAGCAACACCACCATATAGGTTGCAAGAGCACAGTCCAGAAACTTCATGGAAAGACTAATTGTTGCTCAGCATGTTGGTAAAAGTGAAAACTGTCAGTTATACCATAATGAGCTTGTTCTGTTGGCCTTTTCTAAGTATGAAAAGTGCTGTTTTACCTGCAAACCTTTTCAAGGCCAAAACCTAAATTTTCCTTATCTCATACTCATCAGTATGCCTTTTTTTCTTATCTGACTTTTAAAAAATTGATGACTTCTTCATCAAAGGAGGAAGAACCTATGACATCTTCAGTTGCAATAGAGAGAATTTCATCAGAGTTCTTTTATAGCTGGTTGCACACTTGTCCAATTTTAAGAGATGTCATGCAGATAGCACTGATACAGCATTGCAGCCATTCGCAAAGAAGGATCTTGCATGAGAAGTCCTTTCCAGAATGTAAATTTTGTTCTGGTAGTGTACAGCAACCTATTCATCTGCAATGAGTCACAGTGCATCAAGGGCTATATCAATTTCAAGCCTATCTTTCAAGTATACACCTAATCATTCATGTATAGCAGTGTCTTGATCCTACTTCCTACTGCCTACTGTGTTATCAATAGATCTGCAGTGATAATCATAAAACAGTTCAGGAAGTCTTTCTATATAGCCCCTTAGTTGCATTTAATGCTCCTCAAAAAATACAAGCCAGCATTAACCTTGATAAAATTAAAGTTCAAGATTGAATTGATGAGAGGAAGCATCTTTCCCTGAACCAGGAATTGTTCTTTTAGCTTCTTATGGAGGAGTGGTTTCAAAATACTTTTAAAAGTCTTTTGGAAGTCAACAAATAATGGATATACCTTCTCTGGATGCTTTTGTAGTTCTTATGTGACATGTCCCATCAGTTGAATTGGTTGGCTGAGATTCTTTCCTGTTTGATAACCAAACTGCTCATTGGGAATGACTCAATAAGATTATGTGTATGAGTCTGAATTCTTTTTGAAAGGAGTTATGCAAGGTTTTTGAATAATACTAACAACATGGCAATCTCCCCCAATCTCTCCATAATTGTTGAGGTCTTCTAGTCCACCTCACCATTTATATATTCTTTGTACTGAATTTACATTGAAATTTGTATTACTTGTCTGAAGAAGGATGTTGAAATGTCCAGTCCAAAATGATATGGGATAAACAGGTGGAGATCCCCCCAAATGCTCATTGGCAATGAGACCAAGCCCATGTACCTCCCTAGCTTGTGAGGATTTTATGTCTGAGGAAACCTCATCCTATGAGAATTAGGGATCATACTGCAAATTCTGTCATGTTGTGGCAGAGGGTGATGTGGAAATATGGCAGACTGCTAGCAGGATCATATGTAATTGAAAAGCATCCATCAAACTCAGACATCTCCCAGGTGCTTTGGGCTGGCAATCAGCAACTAAAGATTGGCAAATAATGAATCCAATGGCTAGTAGCTGCCTCAATATTGCAAAGGCTTACCACATCCCAAACGGTGAGATACTTCCACTTTCCACCATATCCTCTTCCTCCAGGAATATTAAAGTAATAGTCATGATAAGTTATATCAAATGCAAATATAGCAAAGATAATGAAGTGGAAGAGAAGTTGCCATCCAATGGACAATCTTCCAAAAATTGGATTCATGATATCTCTCAACCTGCAATAAGCAAAAATCATAGACCATATAGTATACATAGGATATAGTAGCCATAGCAGTGTGGTAGCACTGAACAAAATAATAAACAAGAGATAGAATTGGAGCACATAGCATGCTGTTATACAGGGTGTCCCACATATCTCTAACACATTTGTTTTTTTTTTTTAATTAATCAAGAATAGATAATGTATTCAACCTGAAAATTATTGGAAAATTTAATAGAAACTTTGGAAATTATGTTCCAACCCTCAGAATTCACACAGCATTGCTTTTTGTTCAGTGAATAAAATTATTCCAAATGAACTCCATTCTGATTGATGCACCCTCTGCATCAAACCAAAGCATTATTCATTACTACCTGCAATGTGTTTCCAAAAGCATAAAAATGTTAAAAGTTCCTTTGCAAAAACATGCCTATAAAATCCAAACTCATCAGAACTTATTGGAATATTATTATCATCTTAGATCAGACTTTGGTCATTAGTTTCTTTCCAGCATTGACAATTCACTGACATTTTTAGAGGAATTGATGATCTCAGACGAGGCTACTTTCCACATCAGTGGATAAGTCAACCATCACAATTGCTGTATTTTGGCAATGAGAAAGCTGTTGAAGTATGACAACATGAATGCAATTCACTCAAGGTCACAGTTTGGTGTGCCCTAATAAAATCATGTTTATTGGTCCTTTCTTTTTCAATGACCCCACAGTTAATGAGGAGTGTTACCTAGAAATACTAAGGAATTTCCTGAATTCACAACTCAGGGCTTTAAACCTTTCAAACACCATTTTTCAGCAAGATGGGGCCCCATGTCACTGTGCCTTGAATATTAGAAGCTTTCTGAACAAAATGTTTCCTGAAATATGGATCGGTAGCCTTTCTCTTGGTCCATCAGACCTTTTCCCTTTGGATTTTTCTTATGGGGCAATGTCAAAAGGACTATTTACTCTTCCAAGCCACAAAAATTTGGAAGAACTCAAGGCCAGAGTCACAAACATAGAACAAGAACATTGGAAAAATATTTTCCATTCTTTGAGAACACAAGTTGAACGCTATATTGCTGTAGATGGTGAATATTTTTAAACATGAAGTAATGTTAAAATAAACTCTAAAACCTTAGCTTTCAAATGGTTTTTCCTGTTTTCTTCTATCTAGTCTAGAAATAAAGTTATTATTTTTAAAAGTGCACAAGGACTTTAAAAACACCCTGTACTTTGGGATCCTACATGCCAAAATGAAGCTCTCTGGATTCTGGTTTTCTCCATCCTAAAGTAGCACCTTTTCACACAGAAATACTTTCATGCATGCTGGTGGTACTGAAATGTCTTTATCTTGCAAGAAGTCCTTTTCATTATCTAACAATGGGCAAAGCACTTGCTTAACCTTTTTAGTGGCATGGGAACTATATATTGGATGATAATCTAAAAAAAACTCCCTACCATTTTCTATGGGAGAAAGTAAGATTTGTACATTCAAGCAAAAATTATAAGATGACAAACTCTTGATATTGGACATATACCAAAATGTTAAGATGATTCCCTGGTATTTTAAGAACTATTCTCTGAGCCATGCATTGTCCTGTTACAAAGTTTACAAGTGGATCATTAGAGCTTAACCTGGTGTCAGTGTAGTTTTACATTGACATCCTTGAAGTGTTTGGATATCCCGGTCAGGGAAAGGGTTAAGCACAGTAATTTTGCTCTATGCTTCATCATCTGAAAATTCAAGTGAAGTAGTTTGCCCAATTTTGGCCCCTAAATCGAATTTACTGATATGTACATATTTCAAAAGGATGTTCTTAGACAAACATAAAAATGTAATTATTTTCAAATATGAGCAATTTTTTAACAACTACAAGATCAAAATTGAATGGTTACGAGTCACCATCCAATTTTTCTAGACCATAATTTTGAATGAGCTTTCAGATACAACTGATATTTGGTGCAGAGGCTCATGGGCCCATAATTTTTTTTTTTCCTACTTAAAAGGTGGCATGGAATGTAGATAGGGGACACTGCATTCAACTACAGCACCCTCTATCTAAATGCAGTGCCATCTTGCAGTATGTAAAAAAGCCTCCTAGTCTCATGAACCTCTCTGTCAAGTATCAGCTGCATCCTACTGTCCCTTGAAAAGTTATAGCCAATCAAATTATGTTGGTGACTTTATAATAATCATGCAGTTAGGAAGTTAGCACCTGGGGGTTGGGGGTCATGTTGTGCCCTCATGACCAAATTAAAACTCACTCTTCTTGGCCTCCACTTGAAGGGCAGACCTATGTTTTTGTCTGTTAGCTATTCTCAAAATAATCTGACTGTTTACCAAATTTCATTAAATTCTGAGACAGTCAAGCACAGATCATTACCTCATATATCCATCTCTAATCAGAGTAATGGTCATTACACATCTTAGGCAGGGATGCTGAAGAAAAAACTAACATGCATTTAAACCCTTGTAACCACTCAATGTCAATCACATAGTCCATGTAATTTTTTTTTTCCATTTATAAAGCTGTGTTTCTCCCATAGAAAGTGGTAATGCATTTCATCTTAATCACCCAGTATGGTTGATCAAACCTATGGATCAGCCATGTGGCACTAAAAGGGTTAAGCATATTAAGGACAGCTCAGGAGCTCACATTATCATAAAACACATCCTCCAGGATGACTCTGGTTCTCTCCACCCTCTTCCCTTGACTTCCTAATTTACCAGTCTTCTTACATCCCCACATGTAACTCCTTGCTCTTGAATTGTTTCTTTTTTATCCTCTGCTTCCCAAATGCCAAGCACAAGCATAAATTCACATCTCTAAAGAGTGAAGTGGAGCATTTTCCTTTTCCTTTCTTTAGCATCATGTTTCTTCCTTTTTTTAAGACTATGAATTAATGACTCAGCAAAGTATTTTGTTCCAATTAGGTGTCTTTTATAAGCAAATCTTTTGTAGATTTAAAAAATGGCTATGCAAATGTAAAATAAAGGCCAGAAGCAGGCCTATGCCTAGATGGAAAAACAAAGAATAAGTAAACCATGTCTGATAACGACAACTGCTTTCACCAGAGATGGCTGAATCCAAATTATTATTTGACTCAAAATGCAAATCATCAACCACTTTCTAAGCCATCGCATATTTGTCCAATCCATCCCATGGGATGGGGAGGCACTGGCTGCACGGTCACAATGACACTAAATTGCAATGCAAAACACATACGGAGCACATGGAAAGCGCCATGACGACTTTATGAGATGCGGAAGCGCGGTTATGAAGCTGCATCAATCCTCGAATTAAGCTCTATTCTTCTGGATATCACCCAGGGTCGTCATTACGAAAGAAACGAGAGAGAATATTTATGCATTCTCTTTATTTTGAAAGCTAAGTAAGTTGCTCTACAATGACACTCAAGTAGCACAATTTGGGCTTGGTTTGCCTGTAACCTATCAATGCAACCTTGACAGCCTTTGACGAAGTGCAGTGACGCGTTTTAGGTCGTCGACCTCCATTCAGTGATAAGGAAAGATACATAATCTCCCATCAAGAATTATGAACTCGTCGCCAAGTATTTTCAGTGCACAGAAATGTTGACTCCGTCACCAATTACAATGAACCTACACAGTGGCGCAACCAAGGGGGGGGGGGGGGGGGGGGGCGGGGGGGGGGGGAAC